TTTTTTTCTTTCTCTGGTTATCATCATTCGTACCTTTGCAGATTATATATTTAACAAAAGACATTACAATTTTGATTGGAAAAAGGAAAAATAAAAATCACTCACACACACACTAGATATGATTCCCATAAAATCTTTAATGGAGGTGATAACATGCAAAAAAAAAAACAAAAAAAAAAGAAGAATAAAATGAATTATTTAGGAACGCTACTATAAAAAGAAACGAGAGGCCTTTTTAGCAATGCACCCGTTGGTGACCATCGCACCTTCTTAATAACTGAGCCATACAGGTAACAACTGAGATGTGACAATGTGCTGGAGGATAAACAGGGAAGCATCCCCAGTGTGGGAAAAGTGGCTGTTAGTTTTGTCCCCATTCCCAACATTTCAGGATCCATGTAACTGGCGCGTCGCCACCAGAAGGCATTCATGAGTTTGTTGCCGGGGTGCAGTGAGAGTTTGTGCTCTGTCGGCATCTAGAAATGTGATGCAGCATTTATTCAAGACTGTGTGAAGCTACATAACAAAGAACAGTGAGCAGAAGAAAAACCGTTACCAAGCATCCTTATTCGAGACAGCCACCATTGGGAAAATACTGAAACCTGCCATAAAATGATTGCTGGCATTAAAGTCATTCATTTCATGGGTTACTTCTTGAATTTAAGATCAAACCATTAATTCTGTTAAAATGTTCATTTAGAAAGCCATGTTTTACAAAATAATGAGCATGCTGGTGCGAAATTATGTTGACCTCTTTAAACATTACAGAAAAAAAAAAAAACTTGATACATGTATTAGAGGATATGCATACCTTAAAAAAATGCAAAAGTAAAAAGAATTAAAAAAAAAAAATACTGTGAGAAACTGTGAGAACTTTATCAGGCACTCTGATACATCACTCTATCTCACGCTTTAATAAGACTGTATGTACATTTTGTGCATTTCATTACCAAGTCAAACAAGGTACTTATCAAAGTCGACCACCATGGATGATGTTTTTCTTTTTAAAAAAAAAAAAAAAATTTTAAAAAAATTTAAAAAAAGGAAAAAAAAGAAAATTAAAAAAAAAACTTTAAAAAAAAAAAAAAAAAAAAGCGCATACACCTCACATGTAGCGGAAAAACGCACAAAAACAAAAAAAAAAAAACCAAATCCTTTTCTCCTATTTGAACAGCAATGAAAAAAAGCTTAAGGCAAGATGCTGAACACAAAAATCCAATAGTTGATCTGGACTGATCTTTGTTCAGCTCTGGTGTTTGTTGGCATTTACCAGTTCCATCAGTAATCATCAAGAAGACTAGTGTTTTTTCCCCCCCGATAGTTGGCTCTCTGTCTCAGGCGTCTTTTACTACAGGTCATGAGAATCCATGACTTCCTCTCCACACCTCCTGAGTCTGCTCGGAGTCGCTGTCTCCTTCCATGCTTTTTTACGCTGGCAGGCTCAGCTTCTTGCCTTTCAACACTGAGGGATATAAAGTTAGACAGTCATCAGGTGAGAGCCATCTTTATTCCTGCAGCCACACGTTATTTATTCCACTATGCACTGACACTACACATGTAAGATCACTTAAAAGTGGACCATTCCTCAGTCTGTGTTCCCTCTTTGTGGCTCAAAGGCTTTGGGAAAGCTGTCTTTTAAAGATGAAACGATCACTAATGCTACAAATTAAACATTAATTTTAAAAGGAATCATTTTCATTTCCAGCAACTCTCTCTTTTGAATTCAAACAGTGTGACGTTACCTGATACAAGCTTTCATGTTAAAAAGGTTAATTGATCATTAGAAAAATCCTTTAAACAGCAAACAGAAAGATGTGTGAGCCCCCATTGTGCGGGAGCAAAAGGACAAGTACATCCAAGTGTGTAGTTTTGCGCAGCCGTCACATTTGATGAATACAAGCGTGAGTTTTCAGGAAAAGCCAGAGATTTTCTGGGTGACGTCAAGCTTTTTCACAGCAGTTAAGAACGCCCTCTGGCTCTTTTGAGTTAAACTGTTCCAAGAACTATGTCCCCCGAGCAGAGAATAAAAGTTCCTCTGACGTGTTGATGAATGAAAAACACATATTTCTCATGTTCAATCCACTTGCTAATCATTTTTTTATATGGATGCCTTAAATGAGAGCCCTGGTTTATTTCTGGGAAAGGACACAAACCCAGGGGGTCACAAGCTATGGGACGAGCCTGATTAAATGAGATTGGGATTGCGTCAGGAAAGGCATCCAATGTGCCAAATCAAACATGCGGATCCATCAGCTGTGATGACCTTTTAAAAAGGTCAAAAATAAGGGAGCAACTGAAAGTTCCAGATGAGGATGATAAAAAAAAATCATCCAAAGTTGCCCCAATCAACAAGCTACAACTAACAACCAACAAAATGAGATCCACTTAAAAAAGGAACTTAAAAAATATCAACTAAGTTGAGTTAAAATGTAACAAACTTACAAAAAACATCAAATTTGAGTTTTAAAGATCTCTGTAGTGACAAACGAGTGTCTCCACAGATGCAGCAGTTTTCTCTAATAACGCTGTTTAAACAGTGAATTGGTGTTAATGGCTCTGAAAGCCCTTCGACAGACTGGCGAGCTGCTCGGGCTGTATCCTGCCTTTTGATTTGTGCCAGCTGGGATTTGCTCCAGCCACCCCCATGACCCTGAATTAGATAAGCCGAAGGAAATGCATGGGTGGGTTTTCAAAGCACTATAATTTGGCTTTGTAAAATAGAAAGAATATTAAATAATAATAAAATACAAGTTCAGTTGACGCTAACAACCATCAAACCAGCTGGGAATTTCCAAATCATTGCACAACATCTCCTTTATGCCTTTCCCGGGACACTCGATTTACAGTAAGATAAGGAGGGAATTTTGTCTTAAACAGCCATAACTTTGGAGAATTTTCTTTCAGGAAACTTGCGCTGCTGAAACGTCAGATTAGCGTAGGCTGAACTCTAGGATGAGGGTTTTCCAGGGAACAAGACACTGGATGTTTACACTCATCCCTTTCATCAAATTTAAGGAATGATTTCAGGGCCAGCGTGGGCACAAAGAGCAACTACATCAACTAAAGTGTCCCCACATATTTCACGTCTATATAAATAATAACAAATTAGCCAATATCTGAATAATATCGATGCTTAAACCCACCTTTGGTGACATAAAGATAGAAGAAGTCACAGTAGAGGACAGTCTGGACCACACCAGCCACTATGGCAATCATGTCAAAGAAGCCCTCAAAGTAGAAACGCCAGATCCAGTTGAAGAGGTAAAGGGCCCGATACAGCCCCAGGCAGAACAGGTAGTGGGTGGTGATCGTCTCAGCCTCCCCGGTCTTGCTGATCATGAAGAGCTGAGGCAGAATTGCCACCGACTCCAGGTAGATGGAGAACGTCCACAGGATCTGCAGAAGACATTTACATATTCAGGAACACAATTTTACATTTACTCCCAAAATGTCTGGTTTGGAATAGATCATGTGCCTCACAATTTGACTGCGATACAGCAGTTTGAACTCACCTCCAGGGGAGAGAAGTCATGGTTAATGAGAACAGAAAGACCCCCGACAGGAACCACCAGGAACTCCACTCTGAAACTGTCGTGGTTTCCATCGTAGGTGGCCCTGAACTTTGCGTAGATTAGGTATACGGTGGCATATGCGCAACCGATGTAGATCAGCTGGTAAACAGCAAAGAACAGCCTGTCACTGAAGTGTTCTGGGAGAAATGGTGAAACCTATGTGAGGGTCAGGGCTGTGTGGTTGGCGGTGTCTTACCTTCATGCATGTGTTATACAGGGAGATGAAAGAGGTGAACAGATCCAAGTAACGTGTGGTGAACACAAGAGCAAACAGAATTTGGCTCTTTCCAGAGATGCCTTTAAGAAAAATATCAAGCAGAAACACAGTTTAGGCTGACATATACCTCAGCAGTTCACACAAAGCTTCACAAACAGCCTGGGCAAAACAAATCATGTTTTTTCTTTATTGAACAGTGACATCTGCTGGAAAAAAGATAAAACTCCGAAGTCTCAAGAGTTCAAAAAACAAGACCGTTTCTTTTCGTTTGGATTCATTTTAAAGGGTTAATGGAATAATGAGTGATGTCAGCCTGTCCTGATTTGCCCATAGGACAGTTTTTCCCACGTATTCCAAATACATGGAGATTAGATTTATTTATTTTTTTAAGTGGCTGTGAATTGTTCATATCTGTGAGCATGAGTAAAACTGTTATCAGACTTCATGTCCTGTCCAAAGTGTACCCTGTATCTTCCCATGATACATGGTACACATGATGCAAGAACATGATGCACCACCTCAAAACCACAATCAGGTCCTAATTCTCCAGGAATCTCAACTAGTGTTTGCTCGACATTCTTCCTGATAAACATCGGGGGTTTTCAGCAAGTGCCATCTTCACTCTCTGTGGCATGTTTGAGTTTGGCCTGTTCGGTGTGTCTTTTTGGAATCGATAACAATCTTTCCTGAACAATGTCAAATGTTTTGATCCATGTTCTTTATATTCTTAACTGATATCACACTTTTTAAGGGTATTTTGGGTCGGTCATCGTGTGCCCTGATTTACTGGTGGCAGTGGTAAGAGACAGGCAACGTGGGGAAATAAATAAAAATAAATAAATAATAGGAGACACTCTTTATAAACAGACGTGTTTTTTCAACCAGTTTCTACCAAGCAGACAATATTCTAAATTATTGGTCATTAAAATCAATGACCTCAGATCAGAGGATGTTATATGTTAAGAGTGTATATTCAGAAAAAAAAAGTGAATTTTTTGTATGTTCATTGTATGTTGATGTCAGGATGAGTGCATATTCATTGTCTTTCAATTTTAATGACAGACCAGTTCAATTAACAGCCTCTCAGATTCACTTTGAGTAATCTCTTCCTCAACACAAGTTAGATTTTCCCTTGGTTTCGTTTTATTGGGGATCTCCATAAGGAGTCGTGTAAGTGACTGTTAAGACCTATACGTTTTAATAAATCAATCAATATTTTAAACTTCCAGTACCTCCAGATTTAACACAAAGCTACATATTCTTCAGGTTTTAGCTTTTCACCCAAAACGCATGCGTCAACTTTTTTAATCAATCACAAATCTTTATCGAAAGTGGGACACAAAACCGCCCCCTTCTATGACTTATCTAGGACTTTAGATAATCATAGACTGCATCACTGCTGCCTATGTTGTTAGTTATTATTATTAATGCCTAAATTTTTATGTGAGTCTATAAGCATAAAATGCATTTTTAAATAAGTAAAACTTTGTACAAACTCTTTTTAGCAGGTATCTACTTCCGTAGCGCTTTCTAGAACGCCACGTCAGAAGCCAGACCCAAAAAATCGAGCCCCTCACACTTAAACAGTCAAACTATCCGAGCAGGAGTAAATGGATGTGAGGTGGAGGGGGTGGTGCTGAAACGTAGAAGCAGAAACCGCAAAAAGTTATTCTAAATATATTTGTTAAAAGGTTCCATTTATGTGCTTAATTGTCCAGTAAGCAGTAGGAACCCAACTGACCGCACTCAATCCACAGATCGGAGAACGATTAACGTACAAAAGGAATTCCTTCAAAGTCAACCGTTACTTTGATGTGTCTGCGTTATATTTTCCACCAACTTTAATATTTCACTGTCTAACTGCAGCAAACTTAGTAGTAGCTTGTGATGGAGATGCAGGCAGCACTTTTTAGCTGCCATCATCAGTTAGCCCATTCAGCAGCTATTAGCCGCTGCTTCAAATGAATGAAGAGGAAACGTTAGCATTGCTAGGTAGGTAGCTTAGAGGTTGCTGCCTTAAAAGATAAGATTTTTTTTTATCGATTAACACAAGTGAAACGGAACTAGTGACATTAGAAAACCTCACTGTAGCATTTATATTAAAGCTATATCCGGTGCTCACCTGCACACGACCTGCTTTTCCATATTTTGAGTAGCAGGATGATGATAGCAGCCAGATGAGAAAGATCTCCTGTGAGCCTGAAGATGTTCATAGCTGCGAAAAGAAAAATAACAGAGACACAGCTGAGAAGCTAACGTGGACTTTGAAACGGGTCACGCTTGATCCTGCCTGGTGTGAAGGATTCTTCTGCTCAACTTGGAGGCACAACACACCGGGATTCACGGGCTTGAAAATATGGCGAGAGTGCAGGTCGACGTGGAAGGGGGCGGGACAAAACACATAGACCGATTTGCATTGGACCAGAGAATGAGTGACAGCAGGAGAGGACCCGCCCACAACAAGCACGACGCTGAGAACATGAGCCCTGGTTGAATGAGGAGGGTCATCACAGACTTGTAAACCCCATAAACCTAATAACTGGCTGTGCCATCCTTGGCAGCAAGAACTGGCTGTTGATATGATTTTCTTTTTATGAAATGCTCTCATCAAAATGTTTTTTCTGGCATATGTAAGACCAGGCTTTGTGATCTTTTTAGTCATCACTGGTTTTCTCCTCCCATGGAGGCCATTTTTGCCTGGTCTCTTTCCTATTGTTGAAGCATGAACTCTGACCTTAACTGAGCCAAATGAAGCCTTCGGTTCCTTAGATGTCATTCTGGATTCTATTGTAACCTTGTGAATTAGTCCTCAATGCTCTTTTGGAGTAATTTTGGCTTGCAGGGCACTCCTGGTAAGCTCACCAGTGTTCCAAGTTTTCTCCATTTGTTAATAACGGTCCTCACCGGGTGGTTCACTGGAGCCCCAAAGCCTCAGAAACGTTTTTTGTTTTTTTTTAACTCTTTCCAGACTGATAGATGTCTATGACTGTTCCTCACCTGTTCTTAAATTTCTTTAGATTGGGGCATGATGTGCTGGCTTTTTCGGATATTTCTACCCCACTTTACTGTGCCAGATATGTATTTCAGCAGGTCTGGCAATTGTCAGGCCAAAAATATGGTTAATCACAGTTAAGTAATGATTTACAAGAGGGTGGAGGGAAGTTGCATGAGTGTCTGGCAGTACTTGCTGTCAAATTGGTCACAACCTCATAATTAGGTTAGCGGGGCAATTTTTTAGGCAGGGCTGAGCAGGTTTGGATAATAGATAAATGAAAAGAATCATTTAAAAACTTAATTCTGTTTTTACTGAGGTTGTGTTTGATTATTATGAAACGTGAAATGTGACAAATATGCAAAAAAGCTAAGAAGTCAGGAATGTGGTAAATCCTCTTTCAAGGCAGTGTAGATGCATAAATGACAAAATGTGGGGAAAATAAAATCAGCGAAAACAAAATTCATAGAATTTACTCTCTTGTGTGAGCACGATTGCTTCATACATATTTCTCCAAAACTACACATTCAGCTTTATTGACTTGCACTGAGTTATTTACTTTCCGCATAACCTTGCATGATATTATTACTGCCGGAGTCCTGTCACCAAATCTCTACACATTCTCAATAATTCAAAGTTATTGTTCTACCGTTCCTAGATTGCGCCATCATGTGTGCACAGCATGAGTTGACATTTGTGTCTACACGCAAAAATGTTGCCCATGTTGGGTAATAAGGGGTGACGGGGCTATTTGTGATTCCCCATCGCCAGTGACACCAAACCTCGCAATCCTTCATTTAAGAGCGTGAAATCAATTAAATGTACTTACACTTTAAACAGTAAATACTAGTAGTACAGTAGTTCATAATATCATGTTACCATAAACACAATAAACGCTTTGAATATATACAAATCCATTAATTGTACTGTAAAGCTGCACAATACAGGAAAATAAGAAGGAACTAGTAGACTTGAGGAAGTTCAGTCTACCACTTCCCATGTTGTCAGCCATTTAAAAAAAAAACGGCTGATACAAGGAATCATGAGATCATTCAGTGTCTTTCAAGCCGCAGACATGGACCGGTTGTTTTGGCTGTCTCTCCTGCTCGCCCACCTGTTGGTCACAGGTAAGATCATTTTCATATCTTTGCCGTCTGTAAATAATTCCTCTAGGAAATATATGTAAAAGGCTGGGTGTGATTCATATTGATTCTCTTTTGCCTGTTTATTGCAGCTGGCGAGGATACATGTCATGTCAACATATCACAGTCAAACAACATAATCTGGAAGAAAATAGGGGAAGAAGCTGTTTTCAATTGTACAGTTATTTCCAAGTGTTCAGTAGAATTTTACTGGTTCAAAGAGAATGTCTCTCTACCGCTTCATATGAGTAAAAAGTACCAAGGAGAAGCGTCTTTTCAAATTAATTCACTTAAAGCGAGTGACAGCGGGATGTACTTCTGTGCCGCAGCAACTCAGAATGGGTGCTGCACACCGTTTGTAGGGGAGGGAGCAACTCTTGTAGTGAGAGGTAAGGACTGTTTAGAGAGAAAACTCATTTTACAGTCATTAAAATGAAGACGACGCCTTCACTTTCTTTCTTTTTTTTAGAAAATACTAAAACAGTGATGGGAAAAATCGTGTCGGTATCATTTGTCCTCTTGGCCGTCTACAGCTTGGCTATAGTGACGCTCATCATTCTAAAGAAGGTGAATCACAGACACATTTATTTTAATGTGATCTATTGTGCAAGCCGGACTGAAAGTCAGTTTGTGCTCACGTGAAATTAACCTTTCTCTTCCTGTTCTAGTATGGCTGCAATATGAACATCTGCAGAAAGACATCCAAAAACGACAAGGTCTCTCTCTTCTGTTTTAACTCATGTTTGATGAATCCATTGTTTTCAAAATAGGGAAAAGCCCACAGATGCAAAAAAAAAAAAAGAGGAACAGGAACAAACTAAACCCTCTGTAAATACCAAGGCAGAAAAAAAATCCTAACCCCCCCTCCAAAAAAAGGGCTTTATAATAAATTTTTACTCATCTTTTCCCTTATAGAAAAACGCAAATAAAAAAGTACAGTTCCAGGACGTGCTGAAAGAAATGCACAAGAAGAGAAACATGGAGAAAAACAATCAAACAGCAAGCAGAAGCTCTTCTGAAGTTGAGGTAAATGTTGTTGTTACAGCATGTTGAGGTTAGATTTAGTCAAATAGACAGATTGTGTAACTTCTGCCGCAGGATGTCTGTACAAAATTCAATTTAACTGTTTTTGACCAAGTTTTAATATCGTTTCAGCCCTCGAGCAACGACCTGCAGCATTCTTCTGATGACATCTATCAAAATGTCTAAGCTTCATTCAAGGAATTGATGAATTCAGACCTCCATCATCTTGACGGAAAGGAAATTGTAAAGCCATTAAACACCAGCTGGATGATGCTGTTGAGTCTGAGGAAACAAGCAAGTCTGCAAAGGATGCAAGTCATTTGTGCTTCTTATCTTTTCTCATGAAATGAGACATAAAAACTACAAAACCAGCGTGGACCAGGCGACTATTTCCTCTCTAAACGTCAAGGCTCTTACACAACCCGCCTCTCACAAAGCATTCGAAGTTGTGTTGGTCTCCACCGCGCTTCCACAGCTTCCTTGTTGCTCATAACAACTTTTTCCAAGGATTTTATTTTCAGGACTTTCTGCAACACAAAAGGGGGATAATTAGACGATCCACATTAGAGGAATTACATCTGAATTTCACTTCTACAAAAAGCTAAATGTTACACCTTTTATTGCACGAATCATTAATCACGACGATTACTGGCAGTGAACTGACATGAAATGATAAAGCCATTTCTCATTAAAGGGGTCATGGCACTTTTTTGATAGCGCTTAATGTTTGTTACATTATTGACCAAGAATTTCTTTAAAACATTCTTAAAATCTAATCAAAAACATAAAGGTACCACGGATAGATTTTTTACCATTTTTAATTAGAAACAACACATTTATAGAATCTGATACCAAAACATAGAACAAGATACAGCACATGTCTGTATATCAAATACAGCTTATGTTATCATAGGAAAAGAGAGGGCCTTGTTTCTCTTTAGAGAAATCACAGTAAACTTATTAGAAATTCACATTAAGGCAGTGTTTAGCATTCTGAGCCAGTTGTGAAGCATATCCCATCCCCTAAATCTCAATACATTTTACATTATAATGTCCATTCATACACTGGATTATAATCCTTAGATTAGTTTTCACCATTTACAGCCTTTATTCAAAGTCTGCATAAACTGCCCCGTTTGGGCTTCTCTCTACTGTAAACTATCAAATACAGGTGATGCGAGCCACTTGAATCATGTTTTTTTTTTTTTTAATCTGCATGGAGGTTATTAACCATCAGGTTTGTGACACTAACTGTCTTTTTCATCGGGTAAAATAAGGCATTTCATTAACTGGCAAAATGAAATTTTTTGTTCTTGATGAATACCTTTCATCGATCATCACTGTTGATGCCAGAGCTTGTGAGACCTGAGTTTAAGTGACAATAATTTCTGATGTTATGTGGCCACTTTATGCGTCTGCATCTGTGAAAAGCTAAATGGAGTGTTTTTACCTTTCTCTCCCTCTCCATTATATAGATGATATATAAAAGCATCATAAACAGACAAAAAAAAATGAAACAAAATATTTTTTGTGTACAAAATGATCAAAAAGATCAAAGTCGACACTTAAATGATAGTCTTCAAGAAATAACCACACGACAAGTTTTTTGTTCCAGAGATGCGAAGCTGTTAACTAAATACTTCTCTTCAAGTAGATGCTTGAGTTTGTGTTTCAGTTGACTCTTTAAGGATCGAGAATGTCTCGACTATTTGTTCTCATTGCTAAAGCAGCGATTTAACATCCAACTTCAATGTTTGCATGAGTAAAGTTCCTTTAGTTAAGTTCATTGTTTACTCAGAACCTTTTGGCCTTCCAAACATCCACCTTATAATGTAGGATGCTGATAAGTGTAGCTGAACAGTTGGTGGGATTCTGTCATAAAAATATATCTCACAAACTAATTATAAACTAACAAACTATTATAATGCTGAATTTGTGCCCCACCCAACCCAACAACCAGTAAATGTTTAAGAATGGGAAGTAAAATACCACTTTTAAATCAAAGTAAGTGGGATAAAATCTAGATATATTTGCACCCAGATGAAAATTGCCATTTAAAACATTTACTTTTTCCACTTCAAATATTTAAAGCCCCTTGATTTGTTTGATTTTAAGGTACTTGATGATTTACAGTTGTTCCCTGTTAAAATTTCAATATATTCACTCATTTAAATATACAAAAATACTCATTTTAAATTATTCATTTACAGATCCCAACTACAGGCAATTAAGCCAGGTTCTTTGAATACCGAGAATACTGATATTAGCCATCAATATACTTTGTGTCAACTGTGTGACTGTTGCGAATGGAAAACGGCCTCCAAGCCAGGACTTGCAGAGCAGCGACACACATGGGCACCAAGCAAACCAAGTAGAACATGGCTCTGTGGAGGCTCTCCAAGGCACTAAAAACAAGGACAAACAAAGTGTTGGTGTAGTTACATTTATTTACAGTTGAATCATCCTGACTGTCACAATGCTAATTACGGAAACTGCAAAAGCATGCCTGTGCATGTTGACTGTGACTCGTTTAAATGGTGTAAAGAGGAATCAGTGGACGTACAAAACCATAAAGATCTAAGATATTTCAAGAGTCAGTTTATGTGCAAGGAATCGCTGTGAGCCAAAAGCACTCTTCAGATTCCTCTAAACAGTTAATGACAAGGTCTTGGCTCTGAACGATGTCAATGAGAAACACTATCCCTAATATGGCCAATCGTGCTCATGGCTATGAGCACAATTTAACCACCCACTGGTTAAATGTTATGTTTACGAGGGTTGCCACTTAGAAGCAAGGTGGTCTAAAGGGAGCTTATTTTTATTTTCACGCAGTGGATCAAGTGAGGGCCTGCGATAAGATATAACAATTAAGTGAAACTGTGACACATACAAATCCACTGTAGGAGAGCCCAAGAAAAAAAACATTGTAGATGGAAAACAAATGTTTCAGTGGTTCAGATTTTAGAAAATTATATAAACAGTGACCTTAGAAAAAAAAGGCCAAATCAGAGAGGCTGTCTCTTGAAACTGGTGTTTATTCAGTTGACTATAAAGTCGATTTTCTAAATAGCAACCATAGAAAAAAAAATGTTGTTCTCCTTCAAATTAAATGTGCCTCTATTTAGATTATCTGAAATGATAAGGGATCACAGTGGTGGATTTTTGGTGGTTTATTTTACTACTTTACAGTTTTAACTTTTTAGATTAGCTTCTTATTCTGCATTTGTTTAAAATCTAAAACACACTTTAAATCCATCAGTGTCATTACAGTTTATTGGTCAAAGCTAGATTGTTGTTACATGGTGCTATTGTTTTATACAGGATGGATTATCTACATTTCAATAGAAAAACGGGTTATTTATACTATAATGGGATAAACGGCCCCAGGCTTAAAGCTGAATAGTAACTGAACGCTTTGGAAAACGTACTACATTAAACATAGGTATCAGCAGCTGCAGCAACTAAGGCCCTCTTATTTTTTCCTCAGGTTTTTAGTGTTTACTGTACAGCAAGTTATGACATAAAGTATTAACAGACAGACTTAGGACACATGTCATAGATTTATGGGTATAATCCTAAAACCAGCTCCAAAAACATTTGCGCCCATTAAGTCAACAAGTAGCAAGAAACTCTCTGTACCTCGGATCTGAATCCTTTGTGACATCCTTCAGCTGTTCATACCCAAAGTGGTTCAGGATATTTAACACTATCATAGGAGCCAGAGACTGAGCTGGCTTTGTGAACAGTGCATTTGTTCCAAACACCATGGAAGAGAGAGGGGAACTACAGGAGGCGAGGAAGAGAAGAAAACGCATCATCACACATTAAATCATAAACTTGTTTCATTGCGTGTTAGTACACAGATTTGTGAGTGCTTAAATGAAATAATGTTGCATATTTTCCTAGTTTATGTAGTAAAATCATGAGGTTTTAAAACAATGCTGTAGCAGCCAGAGTTAATGAAGTGGTTTATATTTGAATCTGAGGAATGACTGAATTAGTCACTTGTGCTGACGTTCATATTTATAGTCATGATAGTGACACAAGTCAAGGGGATGGCAGGGTTGGTCTGCAGGCCCACCAGTTTGGTCCATCTCTGAATAAATACTAATAATATTCCCATCAAACTCAGCTGTTCTTTCTTACATATAACTGACAGAAATAGTGCACAAGGTAAATGTCTCGGCTGATTAAAATTTTGGCTTTGTCGGTATGACATAAAGGACAGTGGTGTCCAAACTGTCGACTGTGTTTCTTACCTGCGCTTGTATTTCTGCAGGTCAGTGTCAATAATGTCAGCCAAAGGCAACCCAAAAAGACTGAAGGAGGCCTGAATTATAACCCTGTATAAAACATAGAAACCAAAAAGAAATAAGATCAATGCAGTAAAGTAAAAGAAAAAAATCTTTTTACATATCAAGACAAACAATCCCAGCAGTAACTTCTTACATGTTAATGGTGAGGAAAAATGCCATGAAATAGTAGTGCTGAGGACCAATTGCTAGCATGACAGCTGCCATTCCAGCTTCCACATAGAAGATGAAGAGGATGATCCTGTAGTAGCCATGCCTATGCAGCAGACTCTGAGAGCTCAGCACTAAAAGCTAAAATGAGGACAGTCAGGAACAAGACATTGGGTTAGGCAAAGCAGATGATTAAAAAGCTGCAAGTATTTTAAAACCCTTTCCTTTTCGGTGCTTTCAGGTGTTTATTTAGACCTCTGACATTTGAGCAAGGTGGAGAGTTGGCAGCCGAATAGCTCTATTTATGAACTATGTGGTAAACGAAAATAAATAAATGGTTTTAAGTAGTTATTACAAATATTTCTGCCCAAAATACTACAAAAACTGTCCATTTAACATTGTCTATATCCCCTGTATTTCAACCTTGTTCCAAATTGAGAACTGAAAACTGGCACCGCCTGAGAACGGATTTCAAATTTTCCAAGCTTACCAATTCCTTTATCAGTGCAGTCAGCAGTAAATATCAACTGAAAATGATCTTTGTACCTCACTGTTCAGGACCTGTGACTTTAATGGACTAAAGCAATCAGTGTGGTATTTTAAAGCATTTATTCTAATCTTTATGGGGAAAAAAACTAAAACACTAACACTGTGGGACAATACCTGTGGACAGATGAATGCTGCTCCATACATGATGCTCTTTGCCAATGATGGAAGCACATCTGGAGGAATCAGGTGCTCAGTAAATATCATGGTAAAATTATTAAAGAAGGCCAGCATGAACACCTGGAAGAAGTTCATTAGTACAAATAGCTGAAAGTCCCTGTTGGTCAGGATTTGCCATGTCAACGTTTTCAACGTGGAGAAGGAGCATGCCAATGGATGCGAAGTCTGCTCAACAGACGCGGGAGCATCTGATTGAGATGCTTTATTGTCAAAGCGGCTCTCGCTGTGGAAGCCTGTGTAGAGCATGCAGCCACAGCTCAGGATAGCAATCAGCACAGCGAATGCCTGAAAGGCCAAGAAGTCTTCCATGTTGTTGGAAACCACACCACAGAAGAGGACACTGGATGAGCCAATGAGAGAAGCCACCTGGGAAATAAATAAGAAGGGATATGAAAAGAATGACGTGCTTAGGTACATAGAGAGAATAGACGTCAGGATGAAGGGCCTACCTGGTTGTATTTTATGAGTCTAAGTCTGTTCTGATGATGGCTGGAAATCTCTGCAAACAAGGCACATTGTGCCAACAGCACAAAAGTTAGCATGCCATCGAAAGCACACAGCGCTACTGTCAAGTGTAAACCACTCAACCAGTCGCCAGGGGCGTAGGAACGCCATGGGAACCAGGCTAAAAGAAAAGCTAGCGAGTAGAGGGGAGCGCCGTACAGAATGGAGAGACGTCGCTGAGAGCAGCAGGGTACCCTGGAGTTATCTTGCAGGTAACCAAAGAGAGGGTCATTAACTGCATTCCACACCATGTACACCACCTGTGGATAGGAAGCATGTAAAAGTGTTAATAAAAAAACAACAACAAGGAAATCTGTCAGAAATTTAAAAAAAAAAGAAGTAAACTTCAAAATAAATAAATAACACAGGAACTTTACTGCCATTTAATTGTTTATCCATTGGTTAATCACTTATGAACGACAATGTTGGAGGTTTTTATCATCAGGAAAAGCTGTAAAACTTGTGAAAAAAAAGAGTTAAGCCCAAAACCTATGCCGTTCCTTGCATTTTCCACATCTATCCCTTGGTCCATATCAAAGTCTTTACCAAGCCGATCCTTGTCTTTGTGACTCCTGCTAGTCCTCCTTTTTCATTATTCCACCCATTTTGTGCAACATATCAGTACCACTGGGTGCAAAACTGCCTCACAGCATAATGCTACCACCACCATGTCCAAAGCTGATGAAGCATTCTTAAGATTGAAAGCCTCAACTCTACTTCTCAAAGATTCCTTGCCACTGTGTCCAAATAACTCCATTTTTTTTTTTTGCCTTGTTTGACCAGGTTAGGATTAAATCTTTTTTTTTTTTTTGGCTTGTCCATGTGAGCAGCTGCAGATTTCAGTCTAACTTGAAGATGCAGACTTTGGGGGAGGGGCTTTCTATCTCGGTTGACACACTTGCAGTCCATGGCGATGTAAAACTCACTTCACTCTGGACGGTGACGCTGGTGCTCCAGCAGTTTCCAGTTCACAGTAGCCTTCAGCTTTGGTGGTTTTCGAGTTTTTCCTGAACATCATAACCCATTTCCTATCATCTGAGAGTGACAGTTGGGGTGTTCTTCTAGACCTCTGCAAATTGCATTTGAATAACTTGTTTAAACTGATGATCTTGGAATTTGCATTTGTTTAGAAATGTTTCCAAGAGACCTTCCCATCCTGTGTAAATCAGCAGTTTTCCTGCTTAAATATTCACTCAGCTCTCTGGACTTTCCCATTGTTCTAGGTATTTGTTATTCCACTGAGTGCCATCAAGCAAATCCTTTTTATAGTGGTAGAGAGAAACTACAATTACTATTCAATCATAATCAGTAATCGTTAGGTTACTAAAAGAAGTCATTCCTGGGCATGCATGTTAGACATCAACATCGGCTTATATTAGCCCTCTTGACTGCAACTGGCTGAGAATTTCACAGATACTGAAGTGATTTTATGAAGATAGAAATTCCATAGAGATTCTTATGGGTAATCTTTTCTTTTTGATGCTTTGAAGAATTCAGAAGCCAGTTGTTTTTTTTATTTTAAGCAACCGGCTCTTTAAATTGTACTCTACAACTGTGCAACTCACAGAGTATTGGTCAAGAAGGACAGGTCAACATACTCACTTGTGATTGGTGAAACGCTCCTTCGGATATCTTGTACCTATTCAGGAAGAGTTTCACATAGTAGAAGCTGAACATATTGTTTATCATGCTAGACCCCAGAGTGGTCATGGCATAAGCCAGCGCTGCAGGGTTCACCCCAAAGTTTATCAGGTGTCGGAAGACATTCATTGTTCCGGTCTGGAAACGCTCGAGACAGGTTTCACCTTCACGCCCACGAGAGCTTAACCAAGTTAAATGTGTCTTTAAACGAGCAAGGAGCGAGGAGGAGTTATTGTCACCTGCAGCACCGGTTTTACAACGCTACTGCTGTTTAGCATTGCTAACGATACTGCTGTAAGAATAGCAAAATTCCACAGGGCAAAAAAAAAAAGTCTGGTAATGAGACGGATATTGTTCCTGTTCACTAATTCCCATGAATGTACACTTGTTAGGAAGTAACACTTGCTAAATATTTACCCAAGCATTGTAAAAAAACATAAAATCTATCCCAACGAAGCTGTTTTAGAGTCACCAACGGGCGGGACTTCAGGATAAGAAACACGATCTGATTGGGCATAAAAAGTTCCTTCCTTATATTTACTGCTTCGTAATTCGTCAATACAAATCTCCGTCAGGCAACGTGGGACGTTACGACAGTGAAACCTGATTTTAAAATATTTAACTGTCATTCCTTATTGTAACTTTATTTAACTGTGCATAAGGATAAAAAACAAGTAAAATGTGTTCAGTGCGTTTTTTTAATTAATCGATTAAATTTCGTTTATGCTCTTTCTGCCTCCTGCCGGATGCTGGGGTGATTTGCCACGTTGCTGTAGACAACAGACTTTAAAGCCTCTCACACACCGGGGACGATGTGAGTTACGTTTGACCACTCGAGGCAGTGGACTGCAGTCAGCTTCTAGCCGTCAAACTCGAGTGTGTGGGGCTTCTGTCGGGTGGAGTTTTGGGTCACCCCTCGGTTTGAAAATGCTAACCGACATGATTTTGGAGGAAGAATTTGAGAAGAATGGAGAGTCTTGGTACAACCAGCAAGAGCTCGAACACGGTAAGAGCCGCTCAGCCCTGAGGTCGCACCCTAACTCTGACTGTGTGGGCAGGTTGTGTTACTCCAGTTTTATGTTTTATTTTAAATGAGTAAATTAATGAGCGTTACTGCTACTGTCTACCTATTGTAGCTATTTTTTTTTAGTTAAGTTTCAGTTAGTCTCCAGAGTGAGTTTGCTTATTAAAGTTGAGTTTTTATTTAGTTATGCTATTTTTATGCTAGGTTAAGTGTTAAATTAGTTGGAAGAGGTAATATTTAACACATCCAGAATAGGTATTAGTAATGTAAACACAACTCATTGTAAAACTGACTCACAGCCATGAGGATGTCTCAATAAACTTCTGCATCAGGGCCTCCTCATGCTTGTTTATCACTTCAAATTGACCAACACTAACACTAAACCCTAAACCTAAAACACTAGTTTTAGGTTTGTTCAAAAATATACTTGAAATAATTTTACTATTAGCTGAAGTGTTATCACTAATGTTAGTTGTAAGAGCCTTAGGAAAAACAGTGAGAAAAGCCCCTAAATAAGAGCTCACAGATTAAATTGAAGTTGAAGTCCTTGTGGCACAGACCCACAATAGGCATGCAATCCACATGAGGTCTCCTACACAGCCAGGATTTCCTGAGGCTGTCACCGGTCCCCCTGTGTTTATTGTTTTCAGACTAACATGACCCCTGTCTGTGCTTCTAAGCGAGCCACACAGATCATCTAACCAATATCACTGTGAATAAGAAGGAGTAAGGAAGATGTGACACTGAACATAATTATGTGTGTGGTGTGGCTGATCTGTGAATGTGTTGTTTACATTGTTTGCATTGTTATATGAATGCAACCAGAGTTAGGTTATAATTTAGTGATGTGAAATGGCCAGATAGTTGAAAATAGATGACTGACCAACCAATTAAAGTTTATTTGTAATTTATATCCTAAAATAAAGTAGATTTTCCTTTTGGGATGAGGAAAATCATGCTGCCCATCTTACAAGTATATTTTATCACATCCATCCATCTGTCCAGTCTCTTATGCTTGTTCAATTTCAGGGGTTGCACAGGGCAGAGGCACACCCTGGACAGGTCTCCAGTCTATCCCAGGGCTAAAAAACAACAACAACTACTAACTGAGAATTGTTAATCATTTAGTATCATGATTGAATAGATGAACTTGTAGGAAAAATTTGCTGCCTTCACTGGCAGCAGGCGGGAAGAATGACTTCCTGTAGCATTCCTCAGTGGGCATGGATAACAACAAAAGTGGTTAGCATTTACACGAAGAGATTTAGGAAGAAATGTATGCCACTTCATCTCCTCCACCAACTTTATGGGCTTCAGAGTAGGATTTAAGATTATTAGGTAGTTCACTTGTTTATTTTACGTTTGTTCCCCACAAAACGCTACTTTGTAATCCTGCTGGTGCACGCACTGTTAGTTCTGATTGCACACGCTTAACCTAGAAGATGTAGAAATAAAAGTATGTATGTAAAACGTGTGCAGTGAACACAAAAACGTGTCAAAAGTACATGAGCTTTGCACAAAAAATGGAAAGGATAAATGTCCTTTGAGTAGCTACTTTTTAAATTTATACTTTGAGTACACTTCAGCCTCTGTGCTTTTTTGCTTTTACGTAAGTAAAGAGGTTGCATCAGTACTTCAGCTTCTGCCAGGCCCTTTTCAAACACAATTTCCTGTCCTTCTTCTTGAATGAAAAATGTGTTAATTTTGCCATCTCTGTTAGTGACATTTAAAGTTTATCTTGGCTTGGTTTAATTGCATTTTTATTCCCTGCACTTAGTAGTCCCACAAAAGACCAGCTTCACATGGCTGGCCAAGATCCAGTACTCATGAGAATTTAGTAGGGGAAAGGGGTCACAAGGCATGCCTTAGATTCCTCGGTGAGGGACAATGAGTTGTTGTTGTGGGTGGCACTGGCGCAAGGCTACGCTTACACACTTGCCTAATTCTTTCAGCTGTCTGTATTCGGGCACTGAGTCCATCCCGAAACTTGTGTTTGCGTGTTTTACTTGACTCCTTTTTTTTTTCTTCTTTTTTTCTTTTTTGGTACAGATCTTCATTTGGCAGCAGAGCTGGGGAAAACCCTCCTCGACAGAAACCATGACTTGGAGCAGGCCCTGCAGCAGATGTACTCCACCAACCAGGAGCAGCTGCAGGAAATCGAGGTGATAAATTTTAGGAAGGAACTAATCTGAGTTTTTGAGGCTCAATATGTGCTCCGGAATTTCGTCTGTCAGTGTATGCAGATTCTGGTTGATTTTTACATGAATGAGTCCATGATTAGAGGTCACTCATTGAGAAAAGTCCATGCTGAGACATGTGAAAAGCTGTCCGAATGGAAAGTCATTGTGAAATTGGCACAGCTGAAAATAGGTTGGAGTAAAAGCTAATCCTACCCAGTCTGATCTAATAAGCCTTTGGCAAGGAGCAGATCATTTGTCTACCTAATTATTTGAAGACTTTCACTGGTTTTCCAGTAACAGAATACCACTGTTTTACTTGGACACTGTTCCTGGTTTTGATTTTGTGTTAGAGTCAATAAAATTTTGTTTTTGTATTCTAAAAATAATAAACATCCAATAGCAGAGAGACTCATATTTTAGTTCTAAGACAGCGCATGCGTAAACTGCTGATGATCTGAGTTGGAGGACACGGCACTTAGAAGGTCAGCACACATAAGACCCTTAATTTGTTTACGTCTTCGGTGTAAGGATTTCTAGAGGTTGTTTTGGTAATCCCAATACATCTCTTTGACCCACATTGTACTGGCTACCCGCCTTTCCAGTCTCAGAGGTGTGCTTTTGTTTCACGAAACTACAAAAGATCTGGAGAAATGCTTGCCAAAGAAAACTGTCACGAGTCCAGTCTAGCATTTTGAAAAGCCAAGTGCTGATGCTGATGTCATCGGTTGACCTATTGATGAAGCTGGTCGGCAGACAAATACAGGTTACAGGCCTGTATTGCACACTCAGCATGGTGTGCAATATGTCCTTAAAAGAAATTGAGAAAACTTGGCAAAAGAAGAAGTGGCAGCCTTAAAAGAAGCACTAACAGCAGATAAACAAGATCTGAAAGTCATGTCCTTAAGAAATGAGAGGGGGGGAAGCAAGAACCTCACACAGACCTCGAGAGATGCATCTGACCCTTCAGTTGATCCATGTGCTGTTTAATAAAGCTCTATTATAAATTGTCTCAGTGGAAAGGTGGCTGTCTAAAGGCCATTAATACAGAAGAGAAACGGGGAGAACTGAATGGGAAATCAGTGGCAACAGGTCTTAACTGTCTTAGTTTGCTGTATTTCCCATTTTCCTAGTAGAATGTAAAGAAACTCGTTGAGTGGTATGAGTAGGAACTTGGAACATTAAATTCTTCCTTGATTTTAAGTTGGGACATGGAAAAATTTAAGGAGTGGTGCTACTCCAACTTGAAATTATTATTATTATTATTATTATTATTATTATTATTATT